AAATAATTTAATGTGTATATTAATTAATTAAATTTTATTTAAAAAAATATTTTTTAAACTTAAACAATAATTTATATTTTTAATAGAATCGAATTTTATTTTATTTATTTTCATTTAATTTTCCGATTCGAATTACGAATTCGATGATGGGAAACTCTCGTGATTTTTATTACTTTCATTTCTTTTTTTTTTCTCTTTTTTTTTTCTACGTATAAAAAGGAAGATAGGTAAAGGAGGGAAGTGTGTAGAAAGAGATAAAGAGAGAGAGAAAGAGAGAGAGAGAGAGAGAGAGATGGAAAACATTTTATCCCGCAATCGTATCTCACCGGTGTTAAAATCTCGTGGGAGTTACCGCCCCCACCACTACCACCACACATTACTATATAAGAGATACGACTTCGATTCGAAATTGTTGCGCATCGTTGAAAGTGAAAATGAGAAAGTGTGTGTATATGTGTGTATGTTTCTGAAAGATAGAAAGAGAGAGAGAGAGAGAGAGAGAGGGAAAGTGTTGATCGAATAACTTGAGCAAATGAAACGTGTCTGCTCTAATGGAAAACGCGACGATTTTTTATTAGAATGTGGGTAATTGGAAATAGGAATAAAAAAAAAAAAAACAAGAAAATATATAAAAATAAAATAAAAAATAAAATCAACACTTGTGTCGGTATCTTTTGATCGAACAATCTTTCTCTTTCTTTCTTTCTTTCTCTTTTTCTCTCTTTGGTGATGATATTAATCAATAAAATTCTCTCGTCTCGTTGTTTTGCGATCTACTTTATTTCTATTATTTTTGATTTTGGTTTTAATCGTTGGTACACACGAAGATATTTCAACCATTCATTGGTTTCTAAATTTCAAACATTCTCGTATCCTCGATAATAATTCTAAAATAAATTCGATTTTCCGCTTTATTTGATTGTTTTCTTTCTTTTGTTGAAAACTTGATTTTTTTTTCGCAAACTAAAACAAAAATAAAGAAAGAATTCATTTTCCAAATTTATCAAACCGTGTTATTAGATAGGAGACAGAATTTTGGATTTTACAATTTCGTGTTGTATCATAAAAAATTGTCATTTTCATTTTAATGACATATTATTCGATCGAATGCAATATTTAACCCTTTGCACTCGAAGGGCTCCGCTACAATTACAATAAATAAAAAAAAAAAAAAAAAGAAATAGAAGTAAATTTAATTTTGATTTACAACATATCAACTATGACTTTACTTTAAAAATTCATATATTATTTATTTATAATATGCGAATATGATTTTTAAATTGAAATTGCTTTTGTGAGTTGTTGATGATATATAAAATTTAGAAAAAAAAAATATTGAATGCAAAGGTGAATTTAATTTAATTGAATTTAATATTACACACCACAAATTGTGATATTTGAATTTTCTATTGAAATTGTTTTGTGAATTGAGTTGTTTTGTGAGTAATATATAAAATTAAAAAATAAAAAAAAATTAGTTTGAGTGCGAAAGGTTAATTTAATGTAATTCAATTTAATATTACAAACCACAAATTGTTGGCAAGTATTAATAAAATAAAAATAAAAGTAGAAATAGTATGACGAATAATTGAAATTGCAGTTGTTCGGTATCCAAAAATAGTAATTTAAATCTGAAAATGAAACGTGCCAAGAGATGCCAATCTTATCGATTAAAGTACATCGTTAACGAGTTGTGTTATTACTAACGAACATACATACACATATAATCTATACTTGATTATTGTCATAAATTTATCTAATTTTGTTTTTCAATTCTCTCTCTCTCTCTCTTTCTTCTTGTTTCACGTTAAAAACATTTCAAATACCACCTGATGAAAATTATAAATGAAATAATCATTCGTTAAGAATAATTTCAAATTATTAAAACATCTATCGTTTAAATACACACATACACACGCTTGTATTGTTATTTATTTTCGTCAAATATTCGAATAAACTTCCCGATGACGAACTATAAATATGCATGAGAGATTATATATATATATAAAAATTATATATTATATATATATATATATATATATATATATATATATATA